CAATTAATTATATTATATATATAGAATGGGCTAGCGCCCGGGTGCCGCCGACCCCCCCAATTTGGGGGGTCCTGCAGAGAGAGGGAGAGAGATAGATAATATGGATGGATGGATGGATGGATGGATGGATGGATAGATAGGTAGAGAGATAGAGTTAGGGGTTGTAGGGCTTTTAGGGGTTTGAAGCCTGGCAAACGGCAGGCTCGAATGCCTTAACAAGAGAGGGCTATGTGCAGGCAAAGGAGGGTTTTAGGCGTTTTAGGGGTTTTAGGGGTTTGAAGCCTGGCAAACGGCAGGCTCGAATGCCCTAACAAGAGAGAGCTATGTGCAGGCAAAGGGCAGGCTGCAATGCTGGAACGCTGACGGCCAAGAGCTTGGTGGAAGCTGCCGCGAGGGATGTGCAGGCAAAGGGCAGGCTGCAACCCTGGAGCAGCAAAGGCTGACGGCTAGGCTTGGTGGAAGCTGCCGCGAAGGAATTGGAGGGTTTTAGGGGTTTTAGGGGTTTGAAGCCTGGCAAACGGCAGGCTCGAATGCCTTAACAAGAGAGGGCTATGTGCAGGCAAGGGAGGGTTTTAGGTGTTTTAGGGCTTTTAGCGGTTTGAAGCCTGGCAAACGGCAGGCTCGAATGCCTTAACACGAGAGGGCTATGTAAAGGCAAAGGAGGGTTTTAGGCGTTTTAAGGGTTTTAGGCATTTTAGGGGTTTGAAGCCTGGCAAACGGCAGGCTCGAATGCCCTAACAAGAGAGGGCTATGTGCAGGCAAAGGGGGGTTTTAGGCATTTTAGGGGTTTGAAGCCTGGCAAACGGCAGGCTCGAATGCCCTAACAAGAGAGAGCTATGTGCAGGCAAAGGGCAGGCTGCAATGCTGGAACGCTGACGGCCAAGAGCTTGGTGGAAGCTGCCGCGAGGGATGTGCAGGCAAAGGGCAGGCTGCAACCCTGGAGCAGCAAAGGCTGACGGCTAGGCTTGGTGGAAGCTGCCGCGAAGGAATTGGAGGGTTTTAGGGGTTTTAGGGGTTTTAGAGGTTTGAAGCCTGGCAAACGGCAGGCTCGAATGCCCTAACAAGAGAGGGCTATGTGCAGGCAAAGGAGGGTTTTAGGCATTTTAGGGCTTTTAGCGGTTTGAAGCCTAACAAGAGAGGGCTATGTGCAGGCAAAGGGCAGGCTGCAATGCTGGAACGCTGACGGCCAGGAGCTTGGTGGAAGCTGCCGCGAGGGATGTGCAGGCAAAGGGCAGGCTGCAACCCTGGAGCAGCAAAGGCTGACGGCCAGGCTTGGTGGAAGCTGCCGCGAAGGAATTGGAAGGTTTTAGGGGTTGTAGGGCTTTTAGGGGTTTGAAGCCTGGCAAACGGCAGGCTCGAATGCCTTAACAAGAGAGGGCTATGTGGAGGCAAAGGAGGGTTTAGGGGTTTGAAGCCTGGCAAACGGCAGGCTCGAATGCCCTAACAAGAGAGAGCTATGTGCAGGCAAAGGGCAATGCTGGAACGCTGACGGCCAAGAGCTTGGTGGAAGCTGCCGCGAGGGATGTGCAGGCAAAGGGCAGGCTGCAACCCTGGAGCAGCAAAGGCTGACGGCTAGGCTTGGTGGAAGCTGCCGCGAAGGAATTGGAGGGTTTTAGGGGTTTTAGGGGTTTTAGGGGTTTGAAGCCTGGCAAACGGCAGGCTCGAATGCCCTAACAAGAGAGGGCTATGTGCAGGCAAAGGAGGGTTTTAGGCATTTTAGGGCTTTTAGCGGTTTGAAGCCTGGCAAACGGCAGGCTCGAATGCCTTAACAAGAGAGGGCTATGTGCAGGCAAAGGAGGGTTTTAGGCGTTTTAGGGGTTTTAGGGGTTTGAAGCCTGGCAAACGGCAGGCTCGAATGCCCTAACAAGAGAGAGCTATGTGCAGGCAAAGGGCAATGCTGGAACGCTGACGGCCAGGAGCTTGGTGGAAGCTGCCGCGAGGGATGTGCAGGCAAAGGGCAGGCTGCAACCCTGGAGCAGCAAAGGCTGACGGCCAGGCTTGGTGGAAGTTGCCGCGAAGGAATTGGAGGGTTTTAGCGGTTTTAGGGGTTTGAAGCCTGGCAAACGGCAGGCTCGAATGCCCTAACAAGAGAGGGCTATGTGCAGGCAAAGGCATTTTAGGGGTTTGAAGCCTGGCAAACGGCAGGCTCGAATGCCCTAACAAGAGAGAGCTATGTGCAGGCAAAGGGCAGGCTGCAATGCTGGAACGCTGACGGCCAAGAGCTTGGTGGAAGCTGCCGCGAGGGATGTGCAGGCAAAGGGCAGGCTGCAACCCTGGAGCAGCAAAGGCTGACGGCTAGGCTTGGTGGAAGCTGCCGCGAAGGAATTGGAGGGTTTTAGCGGTTTTAGGGGTTTTAGGGGCTTGAAGCCTGGCAAACGGCAGGCTCGAATGCCCTAACAAGAGAGGGCTATGTGCAGGCAAAGGAGGGTTTTAGGCATTTTAGGGGTTTGAAGCCTGGCAAACGGCAGGCTCGAATGCCCTGACAAGAGAGGGCTATGTGCAGGCAAAGGGCAGGCTGCAATGCTGGAACGCTGACGGCCAAGAGCTTGGTGGAAGCTGGCGCGAGGGATGTGCAGGCAAAGGGCAGGCTGCAACCCTGGAGCAACAAAGGCTGACGGCTAGGCTTGGTGGAAGCTGCCGCGAAGGAATTGGAGGGTTTTAGGGGTTGTAGGGCTTTTAGGGGTTTGAAGCCTGGCAAACGGCAGGCTCGAATGCCCTAACAAGAGAGGGCTATGTGCAGGCAAAGGGCAGGCTGCAATGCTGGAACGCTGACGGCCAAGAGCTTGGTGGAAGCTGCCGCGAGGGATGTGCAGGCAGAGGGCAGGCTGCAACCCTGGAGCAGCAAAGGCTGACGGCTAGGCTTGGTGGAAGCTGCCGCGAAGGAATTGGAGGACGCATGCCAGGAGAAGGTTTACGCGATGTGGTTTGACCTTGGAAAGCTAAGAAGGAAAAGTTCCACACCTGCGGTGGTCCCAGGCGCCGCCCCGGCCTTGGCGAAGGCCGGGTCGGCGGATATATATATATATATATATATATACACCCGAGGGGCCTGGGGTTCTCCGATGGTGGGGTGGGGTTGGGGTGGGTGGGGTGGGGATATCAACGTCCTGACGACCCGTCCCTTATACTACGTTGTCAGCATTATGCTCGCTGGGATGCAACATGTCACTACGTTACACTTCGTTGGGGTGGGGTGGGGGTGGGATACAACGTCCTGACGACCACGTCCTTGATACACGTTGTCGCATATATGCTCGCTTGAGGATGCCAACATGTCACTACGTTGACACTTCGTTGGGGTGGGGTGGGGTGGGGTGGGGATATCAACGTCCTGACGGTGGTCTGCAACATGACCATATTCAACGTCCTGACACCACGTCCCTGATACTACGTTGTCAGCATATATGCTCGCTTGAGGATGCAACATGTCACTACGTTGACACTTCGTTGGGGGGGGGGGGGGTGGGGATATCAACGTCCTGACGACCACGTCCTTGATACTACGTTGTCAGCATATATGCTCGCTTGAGGATGCAACATGTCACTACGTTGACACTTCGTTGGGGTGGGGTGGGGTGGGGATATCAACGTCCTGACGACCACGTCCCTGATACTACGTTGTGAGCATATATGCTCGCTTGAGGATGCAACATGTCACTACGTTGACACTTCGTTGGGGTGGGGTGGGGTGGGGTGGGGATATCAACGTCCTGACGACCACCTCCCTGATACTACGTTGTCAGCATATATGCTCGCTTGAGGATGCAACATGTCACTACGTTGACACTTCGTTGGGGTGGGGTGGGGTGGGGATATCAACGTCCTGACGACCACGTCCTTGATACTACGTTGTCAGCATATATGCTCGCTTGAGGATGCAACATGTCACTACGTTGACACTTCGTTGGGGTGGGGTGGGGTGGGGTGGGGTGGGGATATCAACGTCCTGACGACCACGTCCTTGATACTACGTTGTCAGCATATATGCTCGCTTGAGGATGCAACATGTCACTACGATACTTTGGCCCCTTGGGTATTTATAAACAAATTATTTATATGTATATATTTATATATACATATCCGCATATATAGAGATATATGTTTGTATGTGCATATGTATTTCTATTGTAACATGTTCATACATAGATGGAACGATACAAATGTGTTGAGATCCAGAGACATATATATGGGTATAAATATATTTATACATATGGTCATACATGACATATATGTGTTGTGGTAGAGTACTTTGTCATTCGCTTCGCTGCAGGTGCGAAGCTCAGTGGCACAGGGTCTTGGCTTTTTAAGTGTCGCTGCGTGGTGGTTGTGCGGATGTCTATTTTTGGAGATATTTGACCAATATGAGAAGACTTGAAAATGCTGCATTCTGTTAATCGTTCAAAGACTTTGCAGAGCGCAAACCTTTGTCACCGTGGCTGCAGCTGTGTTGGCACCATGTTTCGAGATCATACCGTTTCGTATCCTTTGCTTGAAGGGGTCACCCTCTTGCTTTTGCTGCGATTCTTGGGTGTGAAAGACCCGCCTTGCCTCTATGCCTGGAAAGATGCGTCCGCTTGGGATTTGGATGGTGTTCACCAGGCACATTTGGATTTTATACATACTTGTATATATGTATATGTATATATATATATATACACATATACTTATGAACATCTGTTTCAGGATAGACACTGTTGGCTTTTAAGTATATATACATATATACATATCTGTTTGAATATGTATGATTTCTATACCTATAGATTCATAATATCTATCTGAATCTTTACATAGATATATATCGATAATTATCGATATGTATATATATATAGACATATAATGGTATAAAAGTGACTGTGTGCAATGTTCCCGGAGGTTCTTGCCTCCGTTTTGGCCGGTGACAGAGCGGCTTCCTTGGTGGCTGATGTGATGTCATCAGTGGACAGAGAAAAGTATGAGAATCTTCTCCGTTCTGTCCCAGTTTTGCGTGACTCTCTGGCACGATGGCGTCGGCAAAATGCACATGCTCCGGAGATGTTGCAGAATGCTATAGCGGTGTGGCAAGCTCGTTTAGCACCTTCTTTTCGCAAGACGTTTGTGGAGCACTTCTACGCATCTCGCCTCCTCACAGACGAAAGAAGATTGAGCATTGGGATAGGCATTCAGTTCCTGCAGTTCCTTTGCAGAATTCTTTTTTGTCGCTGGCTGCATCTTCGTCGGCATGTTCGTCTACTCCCATGGCCGTCTCTGTGCCCGATCCGATTGAATCGTTCAGCGGTGATGAATCAGTACCACCTCCTCCAGTCCCAGTGGTTGACACGTCGGAGAGACAATCTTTGGGGGAAAGGCTGCGTAGGAGCTTCAAATGGGGAGCTTGTAGGGATCACCCGTCTCGATCGATGCAACCCCATGTTTTGGGACCCAATTCGAAAAATCCAGGCACTCTCATTTTGTATTGTTCCATGTGGCGTAAGAAAGATGCCGCTGGCAAGCCCCTATGCTGGTTTTCTCGACCTTTTCCCCGCGAACGCTTTGCGGAGCTTGGTCAGTTGCATAAAGATAAATATCAAGATCTCCAGTTAGCTTTGCGACGCAACTCCGTGCGTTGAGAAAAAAAGGCACGCAGACTACTTGCAGCACGCAATGACGTTTTTTTGCTTCTGACTGAACAAACATGCTGCATTTTTTTCCTATCAACATTGATTTCTTGATGAGTTCTATGTCACCCATTGTTGCGTCCAACTTTTTGGAAAACCTGCAGTTTTGATAATGCCCAAGAAACGAGTAAAGTTGGCCGAGAAGACGCCAAAATTTTCCCTTAGAGCCAGTTGCCAGAAAAATTCGGAACAGCATGACCTAGGCTTGACCTACCCCACAGCAGACAGAAGTGGCTCACATGTGTTGCGTGACTTGAAACAAATTTCGTATCCGGAGCTCTGTGAATGGGGTCCGAAGGTCTGCAAAACATACCTGTGGGACCATGGTGTCCTTTCTGCTGATGTACCTTTGTGCTGGTATTGTGGAGAAGACATGATTCGCACCGGGAGACGCATGGACGATGAGCTCAAGTGTGGCGGCACCAATTGTTACGGACATCCCGTCCTGCAGCGACCTGTGGAAGCTTTCACTCCCTTGCACAGCCAAGTTCGTCAAGGCGAGGATGCTGACTACGTGAATTTTTTACGTTGTTGTTACTGCATCGGTATTCGCACTCCTCCCGATGCACTTCGACATCTTTTGACTGGAGTGTCCAAAAACAGGTTGACGCGTTGGACACAGGACATTAGACTGGCCTGTGCAGTGGCCGAGTACCAAGATTCATCCTCTTTCGAATTTGGTGCTGGTGTGCTCGAATTCGATACCGCAACTGCAGTCGTTCGCCGCAACGCGTCAAAGCTGGAGATGACCCAAGCTCGTCTGAAACGGTCCAAAGTGGAGAGAAAAGGTCTCCAGTCGGTAAAAAAAACAGTTCGCAAGATGTTGCGAAAACGTCCTGCGAGCAAGTGTTCTTCCAAGAAGATCTTCAAGGGGAGACATATCGTCTTCAAATTGCGAACTGTTAATGGTATCGACAAAAGCAGGAAGTATGCCATCCCGCCTTTGCCTCCCAAAGCTGCTGAACGAGGACTGTTTCTTTAAGGTGTTCCAATTTGCTAATTCGAAAGGTTCAAAAGAAAAATGGTTTACCTTGCCGAGCTGTAACTCTGCAGGACCTGGCTCGGGGGCAGAGTCATTGGGTGAAACTGCAAAGCATGTGACTTCGAAGCTGGATAAAAACAAACATGTTGCCGCCTGCGATGGAAGTCCCGCACTCCATGCCGCTGCTGCCCTCTCCGGAACTCTTGCCTTACGTGGTGTATCGCACTTGCAACATCTGTTTACGCCATTGTGCAACATTCCTAAAAAGGGACTGTCCAGACCTCAAGAGGAGGTCTTGCGTTCTTTGACAACGCAAGGGTGTTGTGTAGAACGCAGGCACTGCTTCACCATGGTGGGAGGAGACAATGTGGCAGAGAGCATGGCCTCTGTTACCAAACATCAGCTCCGAAGACACGGACTTAGTCGTAACGCAAAGGATCCGATTGAACACAGAAATACGTTAGCTGTTCACTATTTAAATAAAAACCAGGGTCTTGAAGCCGTGCTCTCTGCATTAGCACGATTCCGCACGACCGTGTCTCAAGGACTGGTCGCACCAAGCCGTGCATTCCTCGAAGCACCGTGGGAGAAATGAAAAAAAAAACTGACCACAGGGCCGCATAACTGTCACCAAGGATAGTCCTCTCACCTTAGAACTCAATTTCATAGTGGTTATATCCCCCACACCACACACACACTCACAGAAATATATATATATATATATACATATACATATATATATATATTTATTTAGTTCTTTACACTTGCAGAGCCAGTTGTCCTTTTACGCTTCTGAGCACATGAAAAGTCTGACAGCATCCATGTCATGTTAAACGGACGAAAAAAATTTGATCCGTTCAAGATGATGATGAATAGCAGAAACTATATCTTGAAAAACTTGCAAATTACCTAGGCGAGAGCGCAATTTTCACATGCTCACCATGAAAGACACATGACGCCATCGGAGAACCTTAATCGAAACACAAAAAATACCTGACTGTCAGACCTCCTGATTTGTGCGACCATGCAAATTCATTGCGAATAACAGTACAAAATGGACCGCAAGCAAAATCACTGTAAAAACCCAGCACTTTTGAACACTTTTTCATCCAGAAGAGATGTATCAACGATGAAAATTCGCAATTTTGCACTAATAAATGCAAATTTTCACTTCTGAGCAAATGAAAAGTGTGACAGCATCCATGTCATGTTAAACGGACGAAAAAAAATTGATCCGTTCAAGATGATGATGAATAGCAGAAACTATATCTTGAAAAACTTGCAAGTTACCTAGGCGAGAGCGCAATTTTCACATGTTCACCGTGAAAGACACATGACGCCATCGGAGAACCTCAGGCCCCTCCCGTATATATATATATATACACACAAACATGTGGTGTGTACATGTGCAATATGTGTAAGTATTATACCATAGTATAATATGATTTACACATCCATAATACATCCCATTGTAGTATGCTGTCTTAGATGTAACCTAGTCGTAATGTGACTGTTTCAGTCGGCCATGCAAACGACCCGCGTCGGACACGGTCACTGCTTCTCCATGCGTCCTCCGACTTCTCGTGGAGTGACATGGCAAGAATCAGTTCTTCAGGGATATCTGACATCATCCTGGGGCAAAGCCAGTAAGGTGTTAAACCATATTAAACCCAATAGAGTATTATTTCTGGTGTATTCCACCCAGTAAGGTGGTAGAAACAAACCCAGTAATGGTGTTTAACCTCCAATTTGGATTGTTTCTACCACCCATTTCTGGAGATCATCCAATGGCTCTGATTGTGGATCATCCAATGGGTTGATGTGGGTTGATCCCTCCGGAAAAAAATGGCACTGAGGATTTTCCCATCCCCATGATGACTAGGACTAGGACTTTATAAAGTTCAATTAGCCTCTGGTAAACTAACATAACATAACACAACTATGGAAAATCACAATTTATTTTATTGGTAAATCAACTATTTCTATGGCCATTTTCAATAGCTATGTTTGTTTACCAGAGGGTACCACATTTGATTACTGGAGGGAATCTGTTTTAGTGCGGATTCTGAACTAATCCAATCTGGGCGTCACGTATCCCTCTTCTAGAAAGGGCCTCGTTAAAACTGCGCCCTCTCTAGATGAATAGATCTCATAGATCCAATAGATCCAATACTAAACCAGGGTTTCGATGAGGAGGTATTTAGGGGTCAATCATGAGTATGTTAATGTTGTATTATGATCCCAATCGGACATGGTTTATCATAAGCACCATATTATTGGATGTGGCTATGAGGGCTGACACCCTGCATGCTAGTCTTTCCGGGACCTCAAAACAGTCATGCCAATACTGAACACATATCAACCCTACCTAGCATAGTATAGCATATTTCATATTATGAAATTCAGACATGATCACAATATACACAGGGTTGAAAAACCATGAAAAACCCAGGTTCATTAGTCAGGGGTCCCTCAAACAAGTGATAAGTTGCTTTGCTATTTCCCTGGTATTCTTAAACAGCCCAAGGATTTACGACTGCATCTATTCAGGGTTGACATAACACAGGGCATGGCCTTCAGACATGCTTGTTTTTTTTGGACGTGTTTCTGGGCTGTAAGTTATAACACGCATTGATCTTCAGATATGTTAAAGGCCTTCAATATGTTAATTGTCATTCTCCATATAAACAGATCAGTCTCTCTGGGCTTGCAGAGTTATGCCTTGGATGTGGCATCCAAAAACGATCCACGAACTGCTGATTCTCATGCTGATTTCCAAACATGAGTGTCCATGCTTCATGGTAGAAAAATGCTTTGGACCGCTCAAAATCACCAACAAGGGTTCAGACATGGTCAGACAATGTTAAAGCACATGGAGCTCGGAAAAGTTGTTGGCCGCCACAAGTTTAGATATATTGTATAGTTCTATGATGTTCTATGTTATATGTTTATACAGTATACACATATGCATCTTATATATGTCATGTATTTGTGCGTTTATTTTATCAATGTAGATGTAGATATACAATTTTGTATATTATGTGTACTTATCTCAATGTATACACATCAACATGGCGAGCCGCGGTTGCGCAGAAACATGATCCTGGTGGTAGTTGCTTTGTGTCTCTGGGAACCATCCCCCAACGGGCCTGGAAGATACTGGGTCACTCCGGGGTTGGAAGACTACATTCTTCCAAAAAGTATTCTCGGCGTCGTTAGTTTGGGGGATGGTAGATGATTGATTGTCCTTCCCCCAATATTGTAGACTAGGCCGTATCCTTGAGGTCCATCAAGACTCGAAACTCGCCAGGGGTTGATTTGGATTGCTGCTTCGTGAACCCATAATCTCCCAGTTCATATCCGGTTCCATTTACGCCACTAACAGACCAGGGTATAGTATCCCACTTTCACATTGAGCTTGACATATTGTTGCACCATACTAGAAATTACATGTCATAGTCAAGACTTAGAGGATACATATGCATATCATATATACACACATGCCGGTACAATATACTATTCCCATATTGGGGAATGGTCTCCCCACCATTTTCATGGGGAACTTTTGAGAACTACACCCAATAATTAATTGGGGATTCCCATTCTTCCTTGGTCATTGAACATGGCTATAGGACATATCCATTTTTAGAGGTATATCATATATTGCCGGAGGGCATGGGATATATGACCATACAACATCTTCAACAATTTGAAACTTATTCCACCTTGCACGATTCGCAGCCGCTTGCGTGGAAGGATCTTGAAACAAATCATTATCCAACGGACGAGCGACTTGGCAGGGTGCGGACGTTCGTGCTGCATACCTCATGAAGTGGGGTATTATTACGGTATTATTACCCGGGAAACATAGGGAAAGTGGGAAACTGCTGATTGCCCCATGAGTTTCGGGGTAATTACCCTATTTTCAAACACACCTGTTTAAATTCTGTGGTGCCCTGCGATTGTGGCGGTTGTTGGAAGCTGCTGAACTTCGGAACTTCTGCGGGTATACGAGTGCCAAGAGAGTTAAACAAAAGACTGATAAATCTCCATGGTCTTGGGTGATTCAATGTGATTCAAGTGCTTTATTGACGCTTGCTAATCCCTTCCCTTTAATAACCTCCCGCATGCCAGAATGGGATGATTTGAGCCATGTGTGACCGGGGGTATGTTTTCTGCACCAGCGGTTGGCTCAAAAATCCGCAGAGTGAAACAAGCAAGCAACCTATATATATATATATAAATATATTGACAAGTAAATATTGAACATATACTTATTCAAGTGATGAATAGTGATGAATATTGATTGTGAAAGCTCCGTCCTACAGAGTCCTACATCGACCCACCCATCAAGGAAATCAAATCATATATATATAATATATATATATATATATACTATGGGTAATTTATTTCCTGGCGCTTTCCAAGGCATGTCGGGTCAAACTTATTCTTCTGAGTCTCTTGCTGAGGTGAAATGTCTGAAAAGTTTCACGACGAGATTGCCATCGTTGCTCGGATTGTACATTTACCCCTGGTTGGTCACTGGCCATTTTGAGGTCCCCGCAAAATTGTATAATCCCTTCCCCCTAGTATTAAACACCCCTTTGAAACCATGGTTTAGTAGGGAATTTCCACATAATTGGGACCATTTATGGGGTGTTTAATATTAGATTGCAAGGAAAGTACTACCCCAAAACGATGGTTGATGCGTGCCCTGCAAATGGTGATGTCTTAGCACAGCGCGTGCTGTGCTTCTGTGCTTCTCCTCTAAGATTTGTGAAATTGAGGTATCAAACAGGCCACCCAGATCGAATTGGTCCGCGTTGTGCATTCAGCCATCTCTAGGTATTCCTATTTGGTTGTTTTTACACATTCCTTTTTTGGTATTGATACTCAGCTACTCAGCCATCTGGTACGATCGCAACAAGGGGTTATGGTGTTGTGGCAACCGTGATAGCGCCATTGAGGGCTCCCCGGCGTTCCCCGGCCCACTGCAGAATGCAGAAAGGTGCATCGAAGCATCCAATTTCTTCGAGAAGACCCAGATTCTGGAGTTACCAGGCTGCAGAAAGGAGGAGTTTACGAAAGGACCTGTTGAAACCACAACAGCACTGCGTAAAGCTTGGTTGAGTAGCTTGGTTTTGTTTTTCCCGTAAATGGGGGACAATTGACCACTAAGCAGCTTAAAATTGGTTTTGTGCGGATCATCCAATATTTTGCAATATTTAGCCATGTGCATGCATGAGTTGGAATTCTATAACATGTTTGTCTGCCGGGCCTAGGACCCAGATTGTGTTTGGGGTCCCGAGGATGAAGCCCTTTCCATACAATTTTCTTGTGTGAGACAGTTGGGTGCTGGAGCTATTCCCCCTTTGTACCTGCTGAATTCAAGTTGCTCCTTCAAGGCTAGGGTCAAGTTCAGATTACTTATTCATGCTCTGTGAAGCAAGTGTATTAGAGATTCAAATTACCAGTTGCTACTTTCGGGCACCTTTGTCAGATACATTGATGAAACATGAAAGTTCATGGCTCAAAGAAAGTCATAAGTAAGCCTCGCTTGGATTATTGTTGGTTGAATGGGGTTATGTAAAAGGGTTCATCATTCAGTTGCAACTGCTAAAAGCCCTTGACATGCTGATCCGTGACTTGTGACGACCAAAAAGGTCGCCGAAGAAGACTCTCCCAAAGACGAGGAGACCATGAAATGCCATGAGGGTATGGGAACCTGCCATACCGTTCATGGGAGCTTGATATATTTGGCTACATGTGGGTACAATGGGTACTTGATTTTCCGGGTAATCAAATGTCGGCATATATACGTCACATGGATGATCTATGATTGGGATTAAACATGTTTTGTTGTTCTTTTTTTGGGCCCTTTCCTTGCAGATGTCGTACTCCTTAGTAGGCAGCTCTATCCCCCGCACCGAATGGTCGTACCGATTGAATCCCTGTGACAATCCGACCTGGCATTGGAAAAGCATGGAAACGCGTCATATTTTGATACGACTGCAATGGTGGATTTTGCGGAATATCCACCGGAGGTACATTTTAGATACAACAGGTTCTTGTTGTCAGCTGCTTCCCTATGTCACAATAAGTCAAGCAACGATCTCTGCAGCCATAGGAGTCTTCTTCAAAGAAGGAACGCAGGAACCCCCGTGGCCACTGGACTCAAAGCAGCTAGTGGGATCTGGTTGAGAGTGATGATATTTCTGGAAAGTTGGAGACACCCAAAGGCTACAAGAGATACTGTATCCGATATTTGATAAATGATTTTTTGAGCGGTGGATTTTGGTCGTCCAAGACTTGTCGACTATAGACCACCCTTTTGGGATGCTGCCGATGAAGTCAGCGAATCAGCCAACAGTTGTCCCATGTTATCCCCCCAAATTACGAAGCAACGGCAACTCTCAATCCAGACATGTGCTTTAAAATGACTGCAAGTTGGGCCCTCAATTGGTTTATAGCTGATTTATAACTCCCATCATTATAGACTATGTATAGGGATCTATAGGGTTTATGGTCCACATATATCTATAGTTAATGGGGTTTACCAGTAGTGCCCGGCCGCGCCAGTGCGGATTTCGAAACGAAAAGGCCGTATAGGAATGTCTGCGAGATGCAGAAGCAAGAAAGATTGAGGTTGTGAGGTGCATCAACGATGAGCAAATGGTCCATTTTGGTTGTTGATACGACAATGTAATAACATAAAATCAGTGACATGAAAGAATCAGTGGTGCACGAACGGCTGAGCGAACTATTGAAATGAAATTAAATGAAATCACATGAATTACTGAATGAATGAAACAACCAGCGAAGCAATCAGTGAATCGATGAATGAATGATTCAATCAATGCATTAATGAATGTGTGAATCAACGATCTAACAAAAACGAACGGATGAACGAACGCGAGAATTAATGAATCCTTCTTCGTTGAGCTACCCATCTCCCAAGGCAAGTCTTTTCTAAGCCACCTCTTCACTGAGCCACCTTTTCGCCGAGCTACCTCTTCGTTTAGGTACCTCTTATCTCAGCATATCTCAGCTACTTCTTCTCTGACCTGCATCTTATCTGGGCTACTTCTTGTTCGAGCTAGCTCTAATTCTGCAGCTTCTGTAACCCAAATCTTCACTTTGTGCAGCTAGTACAATGCGTTTTGGAACCACCAGCTGCAATCCCGCAAAGCACAAGAGTGACGCCATACTCAAGAACTACCTTTGTCGCAGTTGTTAAATTGCGTTTGGCAACCTCCAGCTGCAGCCCCACATAGCAGGAGCGTCGCAGCATCACTATACTGCTTTACTGCGCGCAGCCGTGCGATATTGTTTTGTATGGCACGGAGCATAGCACGGAGTGAAATCTCGCTACAGAGTCGACCAATTTTTTTCGACAGCTTTTCCAAATCAAGGCCCGCATCCGCGGAAAAACCGACCCTCCCTTGGCGACTCCTGGCGCAACCATACCTGTAAAAACATGGTGATTCGCGCATTTCCAGGCTCCCGCAGCACTGTTTCATTTCCCATCTGATTGACATGATGTGCGTGCTTGTCATCATGATGTGAAAACTGATCATGACCATGCGTCCGTAACTCGGAGGTTTGCCAACTAAATTTAGTTGGGGGGCACCATATTGTATCAATATCATTTTATACTACATATATTTATACATATACATATTATATATATATTATCCAGACATTGGTGATTGCAAGCCTGACCCATCCATAAATGCAGCAGTTTGCTCAGGAGATCGAGCCAGCAGAAAGTTCACTTTCAACACCTAGCGCCATGGCGGCCATGAACCCGAGCCGACCAGAACTTGCCATGTGGCCCACCTCGGGCCCAAGATATAGCAACCATGCAAACATCACCAACGATTGTACACATAGCCACATAGTTTTGTTGCTCCTGGTGTGCAGTGGCAATTGAGTGTGCCATTTGAATCCCTTGTGGATTTTCCTTCTGATCTTGCCAAAGTTCGTAGGATCGGTCATTAAAAAAAGGCTCAGAACTTGTAGCCGCAACATGCCGTGGCGCAACATCAGTTGTCAGTGTTGTCTTCCGATCTATCGGAAATGACATGAACACCTTTAAGACGGTAATGAAATCGAGGATTCAATTCGCTGATTATATATGATTATACCATATTTGGGTATATATTTGGGGGATCAGGGTCCATTTGCCAGCTATGTTGTTTATCTGTCAGAAAGAGGTGCCATGACCCATCCCCCAGCTGGTAAATCACGGTGGCTGCAAGTCCATTGTATCGTTGCATTGCAGCGGCTGCGATAGAACCCCGGCTGCGCATCGGAAAATCGTGGTTCAACTAGATGGGGTGCCATCTCATGTGACTATGGGTCAAAACTTATAGGGCCCAGAGGACCGCTGGTTGCGGATGATTTTGGTCATTATTCAGTTTCAGCCATTGCAGTCTTGGAACCCAGTTTTGACCCAGAATGAATCAGGTTGGTTTAGCGTGTGTTGCCATTGGCTTGCGTTTTGGGAAATTTGGTACCATCTCAAACCGGGCTGCAATGTGGAACATCTAAACATCAACGTACATAGACGAAGCAAAAAGTTACAGTGTCTAAACTTCTAAACCTTACAGCAAGCTGCTGGTCAACAGCCAATGTTCATTGGTTGAAACCCCGTTCTTCGCTTTTGTGTTTGTCTTTCTTTTCGCTTATATATATATAATTAGAATAATATATATATAATTAGAATATATATATATATACATGCAGTACACATACATATAGATATCATGGATATCATCCTATTTTGTGAAGCTATTGCTGCTGCTGCTGCTGCTTCTTCACAGCTTGTTCCTCACGGCTCGGCGCGCTGTCAGGCAGGCTTCACGTGCACGCTGAGCGAAGCTTTGAAGGGCAAGGCCAGGGAGGCATATACCATCCATCAACATGGGAATACATAGCTGTTTATAACAGGGGGGTATATTGGTGATTTATAGCCAGGGAGGCAATACAGGGGGTATATTGGTGTTTTATAGCTGTTTATAACGGTTTACAGCATCCATAGTTTGATGGGTTATAGCAAAAAGTGATGGTAAGATTGGGGGATGGTGGATCCTATTGCTGAAAAACCACATTGTTTCAAATATAAAACTTGATTTTAAGGATATAGCATGCAACGGGGAGTGGCAACGAATGAACAACCATCTACCATCATCTACCCAGAATGGGATCGCAAGGAACGTCGCTTCCGAATGTTTTAGCAAGATTGGGAAACCACCTGCGCACCAGTGTTGCCTTGGAGTCCTACAAACAACTCCGCAGAACCTCAGAATTTCAGGGTCATTTTGTGGAAGTACATGTTGATGTCCGATGTCCAGTTTGAAGAACAGAAGTACAAAAAATGTCACAGAAAATATCCAAACGAACGCTTGTCCTTACGTTTGATTGCCAGAATTCGCCGTTTTTGACTGTTTTTGTAAGATATCAGAGTTGCTTTCACTGTCCATCTTTGGACTCCAGGTGGATGCTATTTACCTCGCTGCTGAAGAGGTGCTGAACGGTTTCTATTTTTTTATCGAATGGTAATCACCATGGTATCCTGTAAATGTTCCTTGACATCCCAATTTTGGATGAATGTTCATTGAAACCAAACCAGCGATTCATGGAGACAGCTTCTCAAATCCCATCATTTCCTTGAATTTGCTGAACATGATTTGGCAATGTCCGACAATGTCCTAAAATAAGGGTACCCCAAATCATCCAACATTAGGCCATTTTAGTGGGGTACCCCCGTTTTAGGAAACTTCCATTTGTTGATGTTCCCCTTGGGATCCAGTATTTGGGGTACCAACTCCGCTCGCAGAACGTGAGCTTCGTGGCAGAGGCAGTGACTGAAGTACAACCAGAAAATTTTTGTGTTCCCCAATGGCTATGGTGACCCCCCTAAACATATCACAGGATATGTAAGCTTATATAGATAGAAAATACATATCCTACCTAAATAGTGGTTAGTTCATAGTTTTTGTTGGTTGTGGGGTTACTAGGTTACTACCAACTCTTTTTAGTAGGACTTTACTCTAAGTTGTTTTTCCTTTTATTTAAGATAGAAACCTGGAAAGTACTGATAGCAGGCTATTCGTGGCTTCAGTTGGGCGTCCTGCGCCGGCCGTCTTGGGGGTCCCAATCATCCATTGAGGATATGGATCTTTAAGCGAGTTGGTGCTTGGAAATGTTTGTTTCGAAATACAGATCTGTATATGTATAAGATTATTCAGGATTATTCCATAAATGTCCATAAATCGATTATTCACGATTATTCCATACATAGAGCTGGGATAATCCCCGACACTTACATTTTTTGGAGGTGCCACACATTTTTTCGGCGGTGCAACCACCAGCTCAAAGATGATGTCCCGCTCAATCTGACGCAGCGCAACGCCGCAACGCCCCGGGTCTCCCTGGTTGATTGTGCTGGTCGGTTGGTTTTCAGGTCCCGAGGTTGACAATCACCACACTGGAAGCACTGGACAAAACATTTCAAAAAATCGCTGACGAGTGACATTGCTTGAGCCATGCCATTTGTAGCCTGACTTCGTACCACATCTTTGAAAGGTCTAGGACTTAAGTGACTTCTCTGCCAAATCCAGTGGTTAATCATCATTTTCCCTCCATTCGCCCATGAAAAACATTGCCATTTGGAGGTATATGTTTTTCGAACAAAAAATACCAAAAAGAAGGCGCTTTGTTTCGAAATAAAGTTATGGATGCTTCGCTGTCAGAACCGGTTTGAATTGAGATAACTGCCATCATGAAGAGGTATTTACATAATGGAATTTAGTGGGATATACAATCATAAGTATTTGGGTGTATCTGAAAAAAATAAAATGTGGTAATTATACAAGTACACCCCAAAGTGTCAGTAAAATATAGTAAAATGGGGAACATGATGACTAACCAGTGGATTGAATGGGCTACTCATGGCTACTCTATGTTCAGACAAACCCATTTACAAAAATGATGCAGTACAGCGTAGTACAGCAACCCCTAAAGGATAGACAAGTTTCCACCAGGATGGGATTTCCTCTTATTTTCTTGATTTTTCTCATATTTTCACTTGATATAGAAAAGGATAGAACAGGATGGGTTTCCCCAGATATCCTTGGCACCGGCACCTTTGGGTGTCGCGCAGGCCATTGATGAGAATCGCTTCGTGATCCGGGTGGGAATTTTTGGAAGATGGAAAAAGTGGGACTTCATGGTGATTTTATTGGGGATTTCATTGGGATATTCATGGTGATGTCATTAGAATCTATAATATACAATTGCAGTATATATAGCCTACACTCATGGGATATGATGGGTTCTTCCCGAATGCGTAGCGAAGGGTTCTTGTTTTCTTTCTTGGGGGTCTGGGGGTGGTGCACTGTTTGCTCGTAGTTTCGGATTTTCTTTCTCTAATTTCGTCGTCGCAGTGTCTATGGGGAAAGTGAGAAGAGGTGATGTATTGAGACGTGCGAAAGTGCATTGTGAAGTGTGAAGTGTGAAGTGTGGAGTGGAGAGTGTGAAGTGTGAAGTGTGGAGTGTGAAGTGTGAAGTGTAGAGTGTGAAGAGTGGTGTGTGAAGAGTGGTGTGTGAAGTGTGGAGTGTGAAGTGTGGAGTGGAGAGTGTGAAGTGTGAGGTGTGGAGTGTGAAGTATGAAGTGTGGAGTGTGAAGAGAGGGTGTGTAAAGAGTGGTGTGTGAAGTGTGGAGCGTGAAGTGTGGAGTGCGAAGGGTGGTGTGTGAAGAGTGAAGTGTGAAGTGTGGAGTGTGAAGTCGAGTGTGTAGTGTGGAGTGGAGAGTGTGAAGTAGGGTGTGTGAAGTGTGGAATGCAGAGTGCAGAGTGCAGAGTGCAGAGTGCAGAGTGCAGAGTGTGGAGTGGAGAGTGTGAAGTGTGCAGTGTGAAGTTTGAAGTGAAGTGAAGTGAAGTGAAGTGACGTGATGTGAAGTGAAGTGAAGTGATGTGATGTGTGGAGTGTGGAGTGTGGAGTGTGGAGTGTGGAGTGTGGAGTGTAGAGTGTGGAGTGTGGAGTGTGGAGGCTGAAGTGTGGAGTGCAAAGTGTGGAGTGTGAAGTGTGGAGTCTGAAGTGTAGAGTGTGGAGTGGAGAGTGTGAAGTGTGAAGTGTGGTGTGTGAAGTGTGAAATGTGGCGTGTGAAGTGTGGAGTGTGGAGCGCGGAGTGTGAAGTGTGAAGTGGGGAGTGTGAAGTGTGGAGTGTGAAGTGTAGTGTGTAGTGTGAAGTGTGTGAAGTGTGTGAAGTGTGTGAAGTGTGTGAAGTGTGTGAAGTGTGTGAAGTGTGTGAAGTGTGTGGAGTGTGGAGTGCAGAGTGTGGAGTGGAGAGTGTGAAGTGTGGAGTGTGGAGTGTGAAGTGTGAAGTTTGAAGTGTGAAGTGTGAAGTGGAGTGGAGAGTGGAGAGTGTGAAGTGTGTAGAGTGTGAAGTGTGAAGTGGGCAGTGTGGAGTGTGAAGTGTGAAGTGTGGAGTGTGGAGTGTAGAGTTTGAAGTGTGAAATGTGAAGTGTGGAGTGTGGAGTGTGGAGTGTGGAGTGTGGAGTGGGGAGTGGAGAAAGTGAAATGAGAAGTGGGGAGTGTGAAGTGTGAAGTGTGGAGTGTGAATTGGAGAGTGTGTAGTGCGAAGTGTGGAGTGCGAAGTGTGGAGTTTGAAGTGTGGAGTGTGCAGTGTCAAGTGTGGAGTGTGAAGTGTGGAGTGTGAAGTGTGAAGTGTGAAGTGGAGTGTAACACTGGGAAATGCATTTTGCAAGCTTTGAAGTACAAAGCCGTACTGGAAGGCTTTTGGTGCAAGCTCTGCAGTACAAGTGTGAAGTGTCAGTTGTGAAGTGTGAAGTGTGGAGTGTGAAGTGTGGAGTGTGGTGAGTGAAGTGTGAAGTGCAGAGTGTGGAGTGGAGACTGTGGAGTGTGAAGTGTGGAGTGTGAAGTGTGAAGTGTGAAGTGTGGAGTGTGAAGTGTGGAGTGCGAAGTGTGAAGTGTGGAGTGTGGAGTGTGGAGTGGAGAGTGCACAGTGTGGAATGGAGTGTGAAGTGTGGAGTGCGAAGTGAAGTGTGAAGTCTGTAGTGGCAGGTGTGCAGTGTGAAGTGTGGAATGTGGAGTTTGAAGCGAAGTGTGAAGTCTGAAGTGTGAATTGTGGTGTGTGAAGTGTGGAGTGTGGAGTGGAGAGTGTGAAGTGTGCAGTGTGAAGTGCAGTGTGAAGTGTGGAGTGGGATGTGTGGAGTGTGAAGTGTGAAGTGTGCAGTGTCAGGTGTGCAGTGTGAAGTTTGGAGTTTGGATTGTGAAGTGAAATGTGAAATGTGGAGTGTGAAGTGTGGAGTGTGCAGTGTGAAGTGTGGAGTGTTTAGCGTGGAATGTGAAGCGTGGTGTGTGGAGAGTGAAGTGTGAAGTGCAGCGTGTGGAGTGGAGAGTGTGGAGTGCGAAGTCTGAAGTGTGTGGAGTGTGGGGAGTGAAGTGTGAAGTGTGCAGTATGGAGTGTGCAGTGTGAAGTGTGGAGTGGAGAGTGTGAAGTGTGAAGTGTGCAGTGTGCAGTGTGAAGTGCAGTGTGGGGTGTGATGTGGGAAGTGTGGAGTGTGAAGTGTTGCAGTGTCAGGTGTGCAGTGTGAAGTTTGGAGTTTGGAGTATGGATTGTGAAGCGAAGTGTGAAGTGTGAAGTGTGGAGTGTGAAGTGTGGTGTGTGGAGTGTGCAGTGTGAAGTGTGAAGTGTTTAGCGTGGAGTGTGAAGTGTGGAGTGTGAAGTGCGCAGTGGAGAGTGTGATTTGTGAAGTGTTGAGTGTGGAGTGTAAAGTGTAGAGTGTGGAGTGTGACGTGAGAAGTGTGGAGTGGAGGGTGCGAAGTGTGAAATGGAGTGCGAAATGCAGTGTGGAGAGTGGAGTGTGGAGTGTGAAGTGTGGAGCGTGAAGCGTAGTGTGAAGTGTGGAGTGTGTGTGGAGTGCAGAGTGTGAAGTGTGAAGTGGAATGCGAAGTGTGAAGTCTGAAGTGTGTGGAGTGTGTGGAGTGTGTGGAGTGTGGAGCTAGAGTGTGAAGTGTGAAGTGTTGAGTGCGAAGTGTGGAGTGTGGAATGTGGAGTGTGAAGGGTTGAGTGTGAAGTGTGGAATGTGGAGTGAGAAGTGTGGAGTGGGAAGTATGGAGTGTGGAATGTGATGTGTGGAGAATTAAGTGTGGAGTGTGGAGTGTGGAGTGCGAAGCAATACTGGGAAGTGCCTTGTGCAAGATTTGCAGTATAAAGTAGTATTGCGCCTTACTGTGTGGACGCTTTGTAGTACTGCGAGGTGTTCCAGATTTTTCAAACAAGAGTGTGTTACAGTGTTTCAGAGTATTGAGAGAGAGTGTTTTACCAGAGTGTGCCACAAGAGTGTCGAGCAAGAGTGTCAGGCAAGAGTGTCTGACAAGAGTGTCCCAGAAAAATGTCCCACAAAAGAGTGTCCCACACAATTGTCCGAGAAGAGTGTCAAGCAAGAGTGTTCTGCAAGAGTGGTTTGTAATGCGATCGAGCATCTCCTGTTCGCCTTTCCTTGTTCTGTAGGAACCCTTCTTCTACGTGAGCTTTTCGTGGCTTCTATCATGTTTTCATGACAATAGGGATCCAAACATTGGATCAGTAATTTCTGCATCTGATATAATTATTCATATGTATATATATTTTTTTAAATATGTACCAGTGACTTAGGACTTGTGAAAGATACCCCGGGGTGGCCAAGTCCTATCTCATCATGCGTCGGACCCCCTGGACAAGTCCCAACTCATCAGGCGTCCGTCTGAGATTAGAAGCTATGTTTGTTTTTTTTTTGATTTGCTGAGAGGTGTTGATTTTATCAAGAATCTAGTGCGGCATGGACCACTCGTAAAACCATGATGACATAGGAATGAACTAGCAGAAATATATTAAGATGGGTCTAAGTCATCATGCTCGTGGGCTGCAGCTATTTGGCTTAATGTCATTTACTGTTATGATACACTTTTGTCTTAAATCTCGTCAAAAAAACAAAAATATTTCAAAAAACATATGTGATTTTTCTGTGTTTCATTCGATTTGTATACATACATTATTGTTCACTTTTCATTTTTCTCTGTTGTTTCCCGTTTTGTTTTCCCGTTTGTCCTTCCCGGTTCTGTTCCCCGTTATATTATACCGTTGTGTTCCCCCTCCGGATTCCGCACCCGGAGGGCCTGTCAATGTAAGGATATATGTCCTGATGACTTAGGACTTGTGCCCCTCTGGTGACATACAGTTGTGTGCACCAAGGCCAAGTCCTATGTATGTATGTCTGTCTGTATGTTTGGTATGTATGTATGTATGTAATGTAATGTAATGTAATGTATGTATGTATGTAATTAATGTATGTATGTATGTATGTATGTGTGCTATGTTATGTTATGTTTTGTTATGTTATGTTATGTATGTATGTATGCATGCATGCATGTATGTATGTATGTATGTAATGTATTGTATTGTATTCCATTGTATTGCATTGTATTGTATTGTATTGTATTGTAATGTATGTATGTATGTATGTCTGTATGTGTATGTATGTATGTAATGTAATGTAATGTAATGTAATATAATGTAATGTATTATGTATGTATGTATGTATGTATGTATGTATGTATTTTATGTATGTTATGTTATGTTATGTTATGTTATGTTATGTATGTATGTATGTATTTCTGTAAGTAATGTTATGTATGTATGTGTGTGAGTAATGTTATGTATGTATGTATGTATGTATCTATGTATGTATGTATGCATGTATGTATGTATGCATGCATGCATGTATGTATGTATGTATGTATGTAATGTATGTAATATGTATGTAATGTATGTATGTATGTATGTATGTTATGTATTGTATTGTATTGCATTGTATTGCATTGTATTGTTTTGTATTGTATTGTATTGTACTGTATTGTATTGTAATGTATGTATGTATGTCTGTATGTGTGTGTATGTATGTATGTAATGTAATGTAATGTAATGTAATGTAATGTAATGTAATGTAATGTAATGTAATGTATGTATGCATGTTATGTCTGCATGTATGTATGTATGTATGTATGTATGTATGTATGTTATGTATGTATGTATGTATGTATGTATGTATGTATATATGTATGTAATGTATGTAATGTATGTATGTAATGTATGTATGTATGTATGTATGTATGTATGTATGCAATGCAATGCAATGCAATGCAATGCAATGCAATGCAATGCACTTTGCTGTACTGTAATGTAATGTAATGTAAGGCAATGTAATGTAATGTAAGCATGTACGTTCTGATGACTTAGGACTTATGCCCCTCTGGTAACATACAATTTTGTGCACCAAGTCCTATGTATGTAATGTAATGTACTGTAATGTACTGTACTGTAATGTAATGTAATGTAAGTATGTATGTTCTGATGCCTTAGGACTTGCGCTCCTCTGGTGACATACAATTTTGTGCACCAAGAGCAAGTCCTATGTATGTAATGTAATGTAATGTAATGTAATGCAATGTAATGTAATGTAATGTAAGTATGTTCTGATGACTTAGGACGTATGACCCTCTGGTGACAGCGGATGTTGTGCACCAAGTCCATGTTTTTTTCTGATGATTTAGGACATTAAGATTTTTTTTAAAATCTTGAAAAGTGCTTGAGTCCAATAACAACCCCAGTGACTTAGGACTTGGTGCACAAAATCCTATGTCACTATGTGGGCTTAAGTCCTAAATCATGGGTACCTATTATATATATATATAAAAAACAATTGTGATATTTGAGATAGTACATAATATACACATATATAAATATATATATATATTTCAAACAAAATATGATATTTGGGTGTGTCTCAAATTGGTCAGTATATGGCCATGCTATAGCTATATCACACCAGGAAAAATGATGATGAACAGTCAACTTTGGGTGCATCCTATTGGCAGATGTTGCAAATCTTGCGGTTGGCGTTCCCAATCACTAACATTTTTTGGCAGAAATCTTGCAGTTCCCGTGTAAAGCATTAGTACTAGCAACTGCAACTGGTCCGCTATCATGCACTTTCATCATAGTGGATCGTGGCAGATGGATGGGAATTCCTACTTTTGACACAAATACATTGAATACCTACCAATCATTGTCCTTCTATGCTTGGTGGTTTGCAGGTGCTGTATTGGGGGTTGATGCAAGTCCCTCGGAACAAGGTGACAAAATTTTGTGATCAAGCAGGCGAACCACCTTTCAGATCTGATGTCCGGATTTTCCTTGGACAATTCTGACGTCTTGGTGTCATTCCTTAAGACGTCATTGTGTTGGTTTTGTAATGTTTTGTAGGTTTCTTAGAGGCTTCTTAGAGGTTTACTGCCTGTTCCTGTTTGTAAACAAACTATTTGCCAGGCTATTGACAAGGCCAACATGAAGTCTCTGTGCTTGGCGTTACAAACGCAGTGCCTCGACGTCTGCAGGGATGGTTCCATTGGGAGTTTGTCATGTTTCAGGCACCTAAGATGGAGGTACTACGTCGTGCAATCTGGAGGACATTCTAGATCATTCTAGACATGCCCTCATTTTGCCCTTATATTGTGTTGGTACCTCCAGTTTAGATATATACTTAGGTAATACAATGTATAGTATATTATATAATATTATTATATATTATTATAGAATATTATATAATATTATATAGTATATAAATGTAGTTGAAATATCTTGAACTGGTTTCCTATTCCATTTCTTGGATGTCGGTATTCTGTTGGTTAAGACTGGGGTTCATCTGCCCGTCAGGATGATCATTGTGAAGCAGCAAACCTGCAACAATAAAGAAGACACTTTGATCAAATGTGCATCAATGTCCTTTTGGTCATTAATCCAGTTCGAACTTGTAAGTGGAAACCATTTTTTGATTTTAGATTCAGATGCTTATACGTACCTTTTTTTTGGCGTATGTGTTGTCCGTAATGCCAGAAAACTCAACGCAAACAGCAAGTCGTTTCCTAGGCGCATGTGGTGTCGGCCTATGGTCCAAGCCTCAGCCAAGTGTCTACAACTACCAGTCTCTACCAGTTCTGAATGTGAGGCCATCTATGCCACCATTGCGGCACGGCAGAGGGAGGCCTTGAAAAATTTGGCCAACACCAAAGCGAAGGCCCCTTTTTCCTGCGGGACTTTCTGCGTGGGAAATCGTGGAGCTGGCTGGGTGATAATCTGGGATGGGCTGGATGGAAATCTTGAGGATCTGCAAGAATGCTTGGATTGATTTGTATACATATATAATATATTGTGGTATTATTTTTGATACTTGCTCTCTGACTTTATGTCGGGTGATGTCGGGTGGAAGAAGACTTCTGATTTTGCTTCCCTATAATCTTGATGTATAGGGCTCTGAAAACGATAAACAAGTAACTCTGACATGTTTAGTTACGGCTTCCTTTCCTGATTTCGTGGAGACCCCTCTATACTGACAATGGTGGCACCTCTCAACGCTCAAATTGACCTTTCTGCGATTCATCCTACAAGCTTGTGAGTGTTGGCCCCATTTCACCTGGCAGGTGGCCTTCTGTCCCATCCTGAAAGGTGCCAAAAGCTGGAGTGGGGTATCCGCATAACAGACTATAACTGCTGGCTGGAAGTTGGATCATGTTTTTACCATTTTGGAAATAGCCATAGCCACATGTGCCACATGATCAAACATAAGCAACTCTTGGTGTTTCATTTGTTTTTAAAATGTTATTCCATGTTATTCCATGTTATTCATGTATTATTCATGTTATTTCCACTTTCAGAGATGATTCGACGTGACTTGAATTTCTCGTGGTTGTGAATACCCAGCGATGCCACATCGAAGCGATGCCTTAAAGGTGCCATCATCGAGTCCTGGGCCGCCGTGAACGACGCCAGTCATCTGACAGATCAGAGTGCCGAGGCTGGGAGTGGATCGATGGCTGTGGTCTTCCAGGATCTTCCCACAGACTTGAAACACATGTCGTTATAGGTCGTTAACAAACGTTGCCAACACATGTACACCAAAATTTGGGGGTAGCACCACTTTTTTGGGCGGAACGATCTGATAAACCATGCGACTTGGGGGATCGGAATTCTGAGACAACCTCCACCAGTTGCTGCAGATATTTATTCTTGTCCACGTTCCATGAGCAGCAGAAGCGAAGTCATCATTACGACCTTGCTGAAGATATGACACATTTCTGAACGAATTCTAATGACCTCCCAACGACATGTGATGTGAAGAACAGTTGGTAAGTGGAATCATCCCAAAATGACCTCATTTCAGCTTTGTGAATCATACTTTATCCAAAAACCATTTGGTTAATATATGTTAATTTGATAGGATCACTGTTCTTTCACTGGGTGAAGCCTTTGGTCTCAGGGAAATCTGTAGGGAAGAATGTCCTGCAGGAGATCCTGGAGAAGTGCGAGCAGCAGTTGGCGATGGCTGACGAGTGGTTAGCTCCTGAGGCGCTGACTGTTGGAAGATATGGCGTAAGTCTCTGGGTAAATGATGGTAAACCCTTGTGGGGCAAAATGATTTAAATGGCTGGTTTTACCATATGTTACCTCTGTACTCAGCCAACCCTGCCATTGCACCAAGTTTCATTTGACATGATGAAAAAATACTTGTTGATACTTATTGAAATGGTGAAATGGGACTTAATTAAACATGTTCTGACCCACCAATGGGCATTGAGAGGATTATTTTACTTTACAGAGATTTTGTTTGATTTGGCTGCAGCTCAGATCTTCCTCCCAGTTTATTGGATTCCTCGATATATCTTGAAACAACTTGCAAGTAAAAGACTACCTGCCATTTGTTGTTCCAGTACTGTTCCTTCTGTTCCCCTCTTTGGGTTGCCATAGCTTCTTGGGTGTGACTGCAGCTCTTTGCGTAGGATTTGATGTCGAAGTTGTCCTCGACCCAGAAGCAAGCCGTGGGCAATGCCATGTCCGCCAGCCCGGGGGTGAGCCATGGGGAGGATGAAACACTCAGCCCTTAGCTAATCCCATGGCCCAACGCTACCACTATACTGTTTTGAAGTAGAGGAGTGTACATACTCCCGCACCACGGAAACATTGGAAAGGGTCACATTGGTTGTTTATATAATTTGAGGCATGTATATATGTCTTTGCAAGGGTTGGTGGAATAGCGTTCCAGAAGACATGTTAGGTCTGGCAGAGTTTGTGTTCCAGGATAGGATCAATACAGACAGTAGATGCTGTTGACATGGAACAGATGAGGTAGACCAGGTAGACGGAACAGATAGAATCATTAGATATTACCATCTGGTTATTTAACATAGCCATGGAAAATCACCATTTTTAATAATTAGGTAAACCATCTATTTCTATGGGCCATTTTCCATGGCTACGTTAAATAACCAGAGGGTATTTGATCAAGTACTGGGTTGACTTTACACAAGTGTGTCGATTTCACACTGACTGCGTGTGCACATGCAGTGGGTTTTTTCTTCATGCGGGCTGGTTTGATTTAACCTCGGCGCCAAGTATATGAACAGATATGAACATAAATGAAAATAAGATAAAATATATAAGTTCTGCTATGTTCTGCTATATAATATGATATAATATGATATGATATTATATAATATATATATAATATATATATACATATCAATTAAACAAATTTCAAATTAGATTAAACTATGCACATCGAAGTAGACGCAATAGGTTGAGCGGACCTAATTACTTGGCTATCCTTATACTGGTTCGGTCAGGAAGTGTACTGAGGAGTAACGAATTCCATGGTGGTCTTGATGATCTTCGACCTATCCTCGACCGCTGCATTTTGGATCTTGGAGGACACATTTGACGCTCAAATCCACAGCTGTTGCTATGTTTTGCTTCAGGAACCATCCAACAATGTTTGGTACCCAAATCGGAGCCAAATGAGTTATTTTTTCTGATACTGGCAGTGTCACCAGACTACGGTGGTTCCTGATAATGGTACAGTTATTGGTGTGTCCAGTCCTGTCCCTGCAAGATGGTGACAAAGGTAATTGTGTCCAAAAATAGCCATGAATTCAGCAGTATTATCTTTATCCAACATAGGTTTTCATCTTAAATCCAAACGGTTAACACCTCTGAAAATTGCACCAGTCACACCATTGGGGAACCGACTGCAGCTGCATTGCTGCAACGTGTCCCTGTGCCGTGGGTCGGAAGCCTAGAGTCCTAGAGACTTTCCAGGTTTCAGCCATTTTCGAAAGGATGGTCTACTGAGTCTGAAATGACCAACTTGGGGTGTCCATTGGTGCCGAATGCGCCATGTGAATTGGATAAGATCACCCACATGTGGCACCAGATCACCCACGGTGGGATACAGTCAAGGCAGAGCAAGTCTGACATGGTGGCAGGTCTACAGTGAAACGTGTCAAAGAAGTCAATCTCGCACCCCGAAGCGGCCCTACAATATATATATATATTGATGATTTGTAACATATTGATATTTATATGTATATATAATTTATAATTTATTTAAAAAATATAAATATTTATATATGGCAATGTTTGGCAAGTAAGTATTGTGTGATATCCCCCACGCAGCAGCGACCATAAGAGTTCTCTGTGCCCGAATCTGAAGCAGATGCAGGTTTCTAGAAGCTGAAGGAAGTTGAAGGGAACATTCACAGGACCCCCTTATACTCTTCATGGTAAAAACATGTTTTTTGTTCTCCAACCCACTTTCCTTTCCCCCAGCCTTTGGATCCCAGGTCACTCCGCCTGCCCTCCATGAGTCATGTTTGAAGCTCAGGGTCATCAATGTGGTCTGCCAGGATTTAGAACCCCTCAGTTTATAGGGCGGTTCCCATGTTTATCGCATTTTATCACGACCTTTTGTGGCGCCCATTTAAATCTCTGTCCAGGGGTACATCTTCGGTTTGAGGGCGGCGAGATATAAGCGATATCATGATGCGTTGCTGGGATGTTTCACGAGCCCTTGATATCAATGAGTTCCTGGGATCTTGATAGTCCGCTTGTTCTTTGCAGCCATTTCAAAGTCAAGTGCTTGGTCACCATGTGCCAGAGATTTGGATGGGTTTATGACATGATACGGCTGACAATTGACCCGTGAGTTCATCGCCTGGGTTTATGACTATAAGGAGCCCATCATTACCCAGCAAATTGCTGGCGATCATTTTAGGCAATGTCAACAAAGGTACTTCATATAATTACAAAAAACTGAGGAAACTTGACTGCAACCTCCACTAGCGCTATCACAACATCCTGGGCTGAGAACTGATCAGACGCCATTCCCTCAAACTGAATTTGGCATCTCAGTCTCTGCCATGTTGCGGAGTTGCCGTAATTGGCTTTTCTTTCTGGTGAAGCTGGTGCTGTTTCTTTGGCTCTCACTGAACCTTGGCAGTTGGAATGGCATGGCAACTTGGAGGATCAACTACACTGTGGATACACCAAAGGTCCTATCTGCTTGGTAAGCCCAGGTGATATCTCACCCATTGCGAGTCGGTTGAGAGCGATATCAATCCAGGCATAGCTATAGTGTGGTCCAATGTAAGGACTATAGTATGATACAGTATGTATAGAACATTATAGAACTATAACTGTATGATCCTGTATGAGGTTTGAAGTTGAACGTACATTGTTTTTCCCTCAGCTTTGGAATGCGCAACTTTAAACTCTTGGCCTATCAAACCAATGGTCGGCACTCTTTGGAACCTGAAACTGTTAATTTTCCAGCATTTCTGCTTTAAACTTCGTCAAGATCAAGCACCCAAAAACTGGGATGACTCAACATCCCAAGAGAATCTATTCCATCTGTTTTTTTGCCGCTTCAGCATGTTTCAGGATGCTTGAGGTAGCAGCATGGACCAGCTTGACGTTCAATAGTCACAGTCCTGGCCACAAACCAGTGGATCTTCTCAGCCTTTCAGCAACAGCTCAGCGCAGCTAAGGGCTGCAAAAGATGCGGATTTGTGGCATTTCCTGACGCAATATCCAGTTGGTTGCGTGCATGAGCCCTTGCCCGGAAACCACTCCGGCATCAAGGTGCCTGTGGTCATTTGAGTATACGTATTGTACCTGAGTATGGCTTAACAAAATATTCGCCCCCAAGAAAATGTCACGGAGTTGAGTGTTTTGATGCCAAACATGGGTTGATGGTCTATCTGAGCGCTGGATGATAAGACCCGAAATGTTGAACCCCGGGGTACTTCAACTTCAGTCTCAGGGTGAGCCTCCCTCAGATTCTCAACGGTTTCTTAGCTAACTATTGGTTTGATCATAGCATATTTATAGAATTATGTTTGAGGTAAGCATATTTATATAACTATTTGTTTAACTATTTTTGAGGTATTCATTGCATTTAATCTCACTGGAATGTTCTCCTGATTTGAGAAGGACAGTTCGAATTGCAAAAGCCTTGAAAGGCATCAATGATTGTGGCTGTGCCCCTTAGATCCTTATATGCAGTGCATTCTTGTACAGTGCTGGAGATGTATTTATCTGAAAACCGGCTACCCCTAGATCCAGTTAATCAGCAGTATTATGATCTTGCTAACATATGTAAACGTGGCCCATCCCCGTTTTCAGGCACACCCATAGTGTTGCTTCTAATTCCCATTCATGAGTTCCATCTTTTTCCCCATTCTATCTTCATTTGTAGATTTGTTTCCAAATGTATATTTTCATTATCCATTAGTCAAGTACTTATTTTCATGAAGAAATATCCCATGATTGAATTATATCGATTATATCCCATATTTGTTGGCTACACATACATTTATAGTATATACATATAATATATATATAATGTAATATATATATATATATATGTAATATAATACATATATCATATATCATATATATATATAGATCGCCATCAGTGATATCCCATTATAAATAGATCTAGAAACACCAACGAAATCTCCCGGCGAAGTCACCGGGCTTTTCTCGCGAACGAGGTGTTAGTCCTGGGCTTGGCGAAGAGTGGCACCAGAACCATCTGCCACGCCCTGAACGAGCTGGGAATCAGAGCCTATCATAGCGAGGAACTGCGGAAAAATTGGATGGGACAATTTTAACCGGAAACCCCCTATATTTGATGGTAGAAACCATGTAGAAACCATGGTTTCCGGTGAAGATTTTCCCTTAAACCAATCCATTGAACATCGTTTCACTACAAAAACTTACCATATGGTGGAATTTTGAAGGTTTCACTGTAGAAGCAACGGCATGTTCTTTATACTTGTATGAAGGACATTTTGATTCGAATGGCCGAACAGCATCCTGCTGGAATTGTCATGTTCTGCTTGGAGTAGAAGATGTACAAGCCACTCAATTGCATCCCTCACTTGGGAAAGCATCACTATCACAGTTTTATCCGCGTCCATTTGCACAACTTGACTCAACAATGTTGATCAAACAATGCAATTGATCAGCCACTCTGGAAGTGGAAGTGTAGAATCACTGTGACATATGTTCAGGCTATATGTTCGGTTTGAATATGAATGAAGAAGGTAATTTTTCTTTCTACTAGTGCAGCACTGTTCTATTTTTCTGCGGGCTAACAAGGCCAAAACCCTCCTGCTGAGATATGCATTCCACTCAGTAGTAGCTGGAGAATAATCTATGCTGTATATCTCGGATTGACATCTTCGGTATGCGCATTTGTGTATGTTTGTATATATATATGGGAGCCGTCCGTAAAAGCAGGTCACAAATTTATGAATTGATGCGTTTACTTTGCTTTGCGCGATTGCTAAAACCTGCATCGCGATAGGCTGAGCGATTGGTTGGCGATTGGTTATACGGCTACCACCCTATTACTACTACTACTACTAGTACTAGTACTACTACTAGTACTACTACTACTAGTACTAGTACTAGTACTACTACTACTACTACTCGTACTACTCGTACTACTACTACGACTACTACGACGACGACTACTACTACTACGACGACGACGACTACTACGACTACTACTACTACTACTAGTAGTACGAGTACGACTACTACTACTACTACTTCTACTTCCACTACTACTAGTACTAGTACTAGTACTACTACTACTACTACTACTACTACTACTACTAGTACGAGTACGACTACTACTACTACTTCTACTTCTACTTCTACTTCTACTTCTACTACTACTACTACTACTACTACTACTTTCGAGACCAGAACCATGCCAATAATTGACATGGCCGCGCGGATTCCGCGCGCGCGGAATCCGCGCGCGCGGAATCCGCGCAGATGTTTTCAGGTCAGAAGGACATTCAAGCTAGCTCCAATTGAAAACAGGTCAGAAACAGGTCAGACACAGGTCAGAAACAGGTCAGAAACACCAAAAAGGCAGCACTTGCCTAGCATCCCATCCATCCATCCATCCATCCATCCACCTCAGCTCTTATCATTGCTACTTCTACTATTACTATTACTACTATTGCTACTTCTACTCCTCCTCCTCCTCCTACTACTACTACTACTAGTAGTAGCACTAGTACTAGTATTTGTGGCACTAGTAATGATATTATTTTTTGACGATCACTAAAATTGTTCCTAGTTTGACTGCCCGTGCTGATTTTTTTGAAGTTGAAGAAGACTCCGGGAAAGGTCAGGAACAGGTCAGAAACAGGTCAGAAACACCAAAAAGGCAGCACTTGCCTAGCATCCATCCATCCATCCATCCATCCACCTCAGCTCTTATCATTGCTACTTCTACTATTACTATTACTACTATTACTACTATTACTACTATTACTACTGTTACTACTATTACTACTATTACTACTATTACTACTATTACTACTGTTACTACTATT